AGATGTGCTCCTGGATAATTTTCTCAAAGAGCTTCCCCTTTCTTACTTTCTCTAGTAATGCTCATCAGCTCCTTTTCTGAATTAGACCTCTGGTCTGGAACTCCGCTACTATCCTTCTCAGTCTTTTGCACCTCTTACAATGCAACTCTTCATGGTGTTCCTTGCTTTTTTCAGGCCCAGTCCCTGTCTTAAAGAGGCTAGACTCAGCCAAAGTCATGACATGGCTACTAGGGGTGTGTAAAATGGGTTGTATTAGATTTGGATCACTATTCCTGATTCAATTCATCCAAATCCGAAGATCTGATGCTGCTTGAGAGAATTAGCAATTCAGCCATAGACACAGCTTTAAATGTTTTTTCTATATACCTCAAGGTACCAGGCATGTCTCGTGAACAATGTGATGCTGGGGTGGATGGAGTGTCCCACAGAAGTGTGGGGGCGCCCCCTGCGTGCTTGGCAGCAAACCTGGACGTGGACTAGAAGTACTCTAAGTCCACTTCCAGGTCCGCCGCCAAGCACACAGGGGGGCCCCCCACGCCCCTCCAGCTCATTAATCAGCCGCAGGGGGACCCCAGGTGCCCCCCCAGACCCAGGAGGCACCAGTCATCGAGCCAGGGTGGGGGGTGCCCTGCGTGCTCCCTGGTGGACCCAGAAGTGGACCAGAGTGCTTCTGGTCCACTTCTGGGTCTGCTGCCAAGCATGCTGTGGACCCCACCCCCCTACGCACTCTTGTAGGAAGCCTTAGCTGCCACACCATCACAGCATTCACAAGCCACCTGGTAATTCATAGACATTAGGGCTGGAAGGGATCTCAGAGGATCATCGAGTCCAGCCCCTTGCCCCAGGGGCAGGGCAGGGTAGCTTGAGATATGTAGAAAAAACATTTAAAGCTGTGTCTATCTCCAGATCACTGCATCTTTCCGAATTGATTCGGAGGGTTCTGATTCAATTCAGAGAGATTAAAGGGTCCTCTGATTTGATTCGGATTTGGCCACCGAATCGGGCCAAGGCTCCAGTGAATCAAATCAGGGACAGAAGCTTCGTACAGCCCTAATGGCCACATCCAATGGCCCCATCCTTTTTAAAATGACCCAACAGTGTTTCAATTGAAGACGCCTGGCATCCACACTTAAAATTTCAAAGCCAGAATGATGCTCTTGTCATCTAAGAATAGTTTCTGCTCCCATTAATGTCTTACAAAAGTGGTCTGAAATAAAGGGAACAGGATCAGCCCAATAACTGAACGTCTGCAAATAAACCTATTCAACAGCTACAATTCACACTATACAGCAGTCAAGAGGAGTTGCACACTAATGCAAATGAAGATAAAGGAACAGTCAACAATTGTTAAAAGATGACTTTCATTCTTATGTGGACTAAGGACCTACTGTCCCAACTTTAATTCTTCCCAACAGTTAAGAAGTTGAATTCAATTGGAAAATAGTATTTTAGAAGCAAGGGAACAACCAGTTATTTCTAGTGTTAAAGATTCTTTACAATACTTTTGAATGCTCACCCATACTACCTAAACTTTTCTAAGGCAGCAGTAGCTTGTAGCAAACTGTGAACATGTACATGATGCAACTAGTCTAAATGGGGTCAGTAACAGTTCTTACACATGAAAGTTTTTATGAGATCAGAATTTTGTTGGCAGAATATTACTGATTTACCTAAAATTTGGCAGTTTGGTACAATATAAACATGGACACTAAGTGTTATATGAGTATACATGTGCATCTTCTCCAGTGGAATTAAGAACTGGATTTAAGAACTTCCCCAGTGGATTTATTTAAATGAACTCTACTAATCACTACTGGGAATTTTTACAAATAATAAAATAATTTAGGTGTAACATTAACATTGAAAAGTAACTTGCATTGTATAGACAGTAGTCAAGATAAGAGTTTACCGATATTTGAACTTTTCACTATCATTTAGTCTACACATGAAATTTCCTACCAAAACAAAGAACTCACATTTACTATGTAAATTTAAGGTTGTTTCCCAAGTCACAAGAAGGAATCTAAGCAAATCTTAAAAATATAAGCATATATTTAGCAGTGGTAATGGGACAAGCAGAACATAAATGGGGAGAAGTTTGTACAATTTGTTAGCAGCTGGACTGCCTTGATTAAGTTCAAAGGCTTTTACCACTTATAAAATGTATAATATATATACTGTAGTATACTGAATGGTTTCCTATGAAAGGAATGTATTTTAAGAGAAGAAACTCTTAACAAGTTTTTAAAGAGAAATTTTCTTTGTAAATTTGTAGACTGTGACATTAGAGACAGAAAAGCAGACTTGTTAGTAGGTTAAGAAGCCATATGCTTATCATGTTACAAAACAGAATCGAAAAAGATAAACTACACGACAGGATTTTATCTATGCTTGGTATAATGACAGAAAAAAAAATCTACCCTTGTTCAGCTGTTTGTCATGACTTCTGTATTGATACTGCAAGTATGGTTAGTGACTATTTAAACTAACCAGTACCAGCCAATACATACTAATGGAACTGCGTCATATTTACACATTTAGAATATTCAACTAACATGAAGCTTAGAAAAGGGTAAGAATACCCTAAAGGTAAGGGCATTAAGAAAAAGATAGTCTCCATACTATTTATGAAGCAAATGTCAAAATAGAATAATAGTTTTGACTTTAACTGGGGTGAGGTGGGGTTAGGGTATAACATAGTAAATTACTTATCTTTAGAACAAAAGCAAAATTTATTACACTGTACATTAAATCTACGTGTTTCAGTTTCTGACTAAATCCTGATATACCTTACCACAGAGCTCTGTGTTTACACTTTAATCTGAAAAATATAATTCTGATTAAAGAGACAGCAACATTGCATTGTGGAACTTGAAATCTTAACTTTGTTAAATATAACCTTTGAAGGATTTTTCTGGCATTTCTTTTCTATTTTAAATATGAAATGTTTTGGTTTCTGGTGACATGTTTGTTTAAGGCACGGCTAAATGCTAGATGCAAAAATATCTGATTTTCAAACTTGCCTGAGATTTGGTTTTGTTGCTGTGTTCTTAGAGCAAATCAGCAACAACAGTTTAATAAGGGATCTCTTTAGGATAAATAAGCAGGAACTACTGAAGAGGTTTACCTAACTTGAATTTCTTGATCTGTTAATCGGCTTTCCCTTTTTCATTCTGTGTTGAGGGAGAGATACAAATTCCAAACGTATTTTGCTATTGCACATGCAGAGATTAATACAATGAATGCAATGAAAGTACTAGCATGGACTGTAATAATAATGGTTATTTTCTTTGGATAACTGACACTGAAGAACTGTTGCAACATTTCTGCAGAAGGCAGGGCAGGGTGTGGCACCTTAAACAAACTCATTTAGAAATACATCAGTTCTTGCTAGCAACATCCTAATTTGTCAGATGAATAGCACCTGTTGCCTACTAAAGCTGATGCATTTTTGAATAAGTTGATCTCTAAGTTACTATTTTGCATGGTGCCTAACATTTCTGCAGTTATTTTACCAAGCCTAAGAAAACAATATGCATAACAGACAGGTTTGTGTTATAAGCAGGAATTAACCAGACTACTGCAAAAGTAAAAAAAAAAATCTTCTTGCCTACCTCATAAAACATATAAAGAGACAGCAGCGTAAGTCCAAGGTTATAGACCACTAGAATGCCCCTGCATGAGAATGGCTGTTTATTCTGCATGTACTTTGGTCCCAGCCACACAATTACCAAGTACAAGACAGAGAAGATAAAAGTAGGTGCATAGTTATCCAGAAGAAACCATCCTTTCACTCTGGGATCTGAAACAGAATGAAAAACACAAAAAATTAGGATTTAGTGGAAATATTTCAAACAGAAAAAATGTTTGCCTCATAAATGTCTAGTAAAATGATAGCCTAATATGAATCAATGTGATTAGAACATACCGAAGTAATAAGGGTGAACAAGCTTTACATATGCAAACTTGTTTCATTATGAAACTTACATGCGCAGCAAGGCAAGGCATACTATCCCTAAGCAAAGTACACATAACCTTTTTAGTAGTGCAAATATTCCTTTTTTAAGCTATCTATTGCAGAATAAAGTAATACTATTAAAATTAATAATCTTTGGCATGTACAGTGAAAGAAGATTCTGAGTAAAAATATGTCGTTTCCCAAACTTGTTATCATCTTCCTGAAAGCCACTGTAATATCAGTGCAAACCTCTTTTCAAAATGTATCTTCTCATTGTACTGGCATATTAAGTTGGTACTTGTTTAATCCATGCTTGTCCTGAACAGTCAGAGAAAATGAGAATGAGCTGGATTCCTTCTTGCACATGAAGGGCAGTGAATGGCTTCATATATTCCAGTACCATTAGCACCAATACTGATCTTGAGGCACAGGGTCTGTACAAGTGTTCCTCATCCTAATTTTGTCTTTGAACCTTTTTAAAAATCAGCAATAAATCACAACAATGTAATCGCCCAGTGTGACTGGCCAATTCACAAGGAGTTGCAAGGTTGGCAAACAATATCTACTTTTAACAAGTTAAAACTGAGAAAATTTGGTGTGGAAATACCAGAGAACAAATGACCTTTTATAAATGAACATGGGCTGGCAGTGTGGGAATGCAGTCAGGAAG